GGCCCCTGTGTCCTCAACAGAGCCCCCCACAAGAGAAGTATTGTCCTCTCAGTGACTCTAGGCCCCTGTGTCCTCAACAGAGCCCCACACAGAGAAGTATTGTCCTCTCAGTGACTCTAGGCCCCTGTGTCCTCAACAGAGCCCCACACAAGTATTGTCCTCTCAGTGACTCTAGGCCCCTGTGTCCTCAACAGAGCCCCACACAAGAGAAGTATTGTCCTCTCAGTGACTCTAGGCCCCTGTGTCTTCAACAGAGCCCCACACAAGTATTGTCCTCTCAGTGATTCTAGGCCCCTGTGTCATCAACAGAGCCCCACACAAGAGAAGTATTGTCCTCTCAGTGACTCTAGGCCCTGTGTCCTCAACAGAGCCCCACACAAGCAATGTCTCTCAGTGCCTCTAGGCCCCTGTGTCATCAACAGAGCCCCACACAAGAGAGGTATTGTCCTCTCAGTGACTCTAGGCCCATGTGTCCTCAACAGAATCCCACACAAGAAGACAGGCCCTTACCAAAATTGTTTTACTGTCAGTGATTCCTTGCCCTGCATTTATTGTCATATTGGTGAATCAGGCCTTTCGTCTTCTAAAAACCACCCACATAAGAGCTCTCCTGGCCCTCTCTCAGCATACACCAGAGGAGTAGACCCTATCACAATAATGAAGCATAACGATTCCCCTTTAGTTCGAAACAATTGTCAGCTTGGCCTGATAAAATGGCAGCCTGTGTTGGTACCTGGCAACTTCTACAGAACATGGTGTTTGATGATGAAAATCCTGAGATTTTTTATGGTCATTTACAGTTGGATCAAAAGAAGAATATCTTTGTTGCCGATCACCAGTAATTGGGAGTGATACAGACTCAACGGTTGCTTATCTGACGTGTTTAGTATTCTCGCTCTGTCCTGATACCTACCACACATTTTTTACTGGTTTCACTTTTATTTCAGAAGAATCATTAAGTTGTAACCACGGGAGATTTGTTTCATCTTATCTTTTTTATTCCGTTCCAGATGATGATGAGCGTACTAGTTTCTGAGTTTTCATTGGTGTCATCAGTACCAACAAGACTCTCAAACCCTTCACTACCTAGGCTAACAAATGTATCAAACCATGATGGTAAGCCAATGGTGTACTTTAGACAACATTGAAAAATGTAAATTAGAGAAAGAGCAGAACTCTTACGTAAACAGTCAAAATAAAAACCCTTTTAAAAGTTTTTAAAAAAAAACCCATGTGCTTAAGAAGGAACACCTTTTTATCACTTAAAATGGATGTAAATCTCTTTCGACTTACCAGGTATCAAATCTGATGTACTATTCAAAACTTTTCAGTATTTGAGATTACAAATTAAATTTCAGTAAAATCAAACAAATTATAGAGATAAACTGGGACATAATTCCAGTAAAAGCCTCTATTTCACAAGTATAAAGGAAAGACAAGAGGGACCACCTTATAGCAAAATAATTAAAAAGAAGATAGTCACTGGTGCTGGATGATGGAAGGAGGAAAAAAAGTTGTTGTTCAGCACCCGAAGAAGGTGCTACACATTGGTGATATACGGAGGAGAAAATGCTGTCAGTTATCTGTGTATAATAGATTACCCACGGTAACTTATCTGTACCAATGAGAATTATGTGATAAATAATTAATCCAGTGAGACCAGTTGTGAGAGTTAGAGTAATCTCAGGCTAGTTTCATCAAAAGGAGGTGCCTGTCACACTATCGTGATTACAGATACCTAGGTCTAACACTTCCTGTAGAAGTCGATTCACAAGACCACGTTATGACATTTCTCTGTGTTGGAACTCAGCTTCTACCAGCTTATACCCTTGATTACAATCTACCCTGATCAGAAAATATAAAACATTTAATACTCTGAAGAAAAGACTCTTTCATAGCTACACGCACACGCAAACCTGTTCATACATATACTCAGTTTCTTGTGTAACAATTGACTCAAGACTTGAACCTGGCTTTTCTTAAATGGGGCTGCAGTGGAAAGAAGACTTTAAGGGAGTTTCTGACTTAATAGCCATCTGACAATACAACAAAACACAATATGCTTTTTTCATTCTTACAATACAAAAAATGAAAATCTGGCAAAGTATCGCATTTTTGTATGCCTCATGGCTACACAGATGAGTGTTTCACCAGTCAAAATCCACAATACGTTTTATCGTGCACTTAATCATTCAACCGTTTCAACCACAATGGCATATGCACGTTTGCACGTGTGTTGTCGGTAAGGCATCAGGAACATATCCCACTTATTCAGCATATGCTCAAGTTCAATGCAGTTGTGACGATGTGATTATGCGATAACATTTTTTATAGATCTGTATTACATGTGCTGTGTGTGTCTGCTACCTCCGCAGACATCCAGCACACGATCTCGAGAGGAATGTTCTAAAGCTTTTTATTTTACCCCTACTTGTGAAAGACAAGATGTTAATTTATATTATATTTCTACCTTATCAACAAAGATCTACTATTTAGTGATAATGTGATTTCCATAAGAACTTGCACCCGAAGTTTTGACTATTTTTACCGAAGCAGCCCCAAACTAGGAGTAACTAATCCTAAAGTCTCCCGGTAACATTCCTACTCCAGGAAGACTTACATCTATAGCAATATGATACAGCAATTCATCGTCTGATAACCAGAAAGTACACAGAGAACCAGTAGGAAGTGACTACTTCAAATAACATGTTTCAATTTTTTTTGCAACAGATGCGAAAATGTTTAATGTGGACCAAATTATTGAATACTATTTTACTGGTTATACAAATGATTCATATTAATTGATAATCAAATTCCATTATTGTTTAATTTGTTCAATTTTATGTATTTTTATCCAGTTTCAATGATTAACATTCTAATACGATATTTAATGGTTCAGAAGTCAATTTTCTCTCAGCATTTCTAGTAACCCCAAAACTGAAAGCAAGGAATGATACCAAACAATCTATGACTTCAAAAACATTACTCATTGAGTTATCTTTAAAAGCTTTTATTAATTACATGAAATACTCAGATTTAATAACCAGGAGCAATTAGGTAGGCAACATCCTCCAACAGCCAATAACAATGACAGGAATATCAAAGTAAGACAAGAGATAATAACATGGTGAACGTTTGATTCCGTCTAAGTAATGAAATAGGTACGCATTTTTTACTGTTGGATTTTTAAATGGCCAGTTGACGTGGAGGTTCACCTGGTGTACATCGTCTTGTTTATCTCACGAGCAGCTGCTGAACTCCTTATAGTTCTGTATTTTTGGAACTCACAGAAAAACTGCAATACATTAGATCTAGGTAGCAGCAGTAACGTGAATATAATGAGTTCTTAGTATAAGGAAGCAGTCTAGTTGATAAGTGGCTGTGTCAATAACTCTCAAAATATCGTCATAAATGTATCTAAACCTTGTCTGTTCAGCAAACACTTTACCAACGAGATAAACATTCGCCTATACACTTTATCATCGGAGGCTATCTCATGAAAATGAAGAGTTCTTATTTCGCCATGGAAATGAAGTGCTATTAATATTACAGATGAATATAATTTACAAAACGGCTTTGGTGAAAAATATTTCCAACCTCGTGAACAGTTGCATAGCTTTTTCTTGGTGTACAGAATGATGGAACTACCAGAACACCATGGATACAAAGAACGGTTCAAAGGCAAATTATACAAAAGTACAGCAGATTTTCAAGTGAATGTAAATCTTTAGAAAAAGTTATCTACACCCCTGTGGGAAACAAAGTGGGTGTTTAAACATTCATGTAATGCAAATATTGTGGATGATTTTTTTTCAATGTTTCCTTTTTTAAATTTCACAAATGAACAGTGAAGCCTAAATCTGTGAACAATTTTAAAGTATTGTCTACATAATATACAGATGTTTGATAAGGTATGTACATTACCCACCATGAGAAGCCAACCACACAGATCTAGACAAAGATGTCAATCGGACGGAAGGTGTTTAGAAATGTATGAAATGTATTTCAAGGAGACGGAGAAGTTTTGAGGAACCAGATATCTGTCTGGAGGGGGAGGGCTATGTCACAAGGCCAGATGTTGTCATCTGATAATAAGTCAACGTGTCCTGGTCACACTAAAAGCTCATAAACCAGGACAGAAACACGGTAGAAAATTGGTATTTGGGGAAAGATATGAGAAACAAATGTTAAATGTTGGGGAGGAAGTTGAATGACTCCTAGACATGACACATTGTTGTAGATCTGTATGGGTCAGTCCCTATCTCACACACGATCCCCACTATCTCTCCCTAAAGCACACAGCTGGTTAGCTTCCACATACAAACAATTTGTTTAAAATTTCAAAATTTTCACACATATTAAGTCTGAAGGCTCCATGTAAAGCTATAAATCCCTACAGAAGCATTATGACCACCACAGAGATATATTCAAATACAGATTTACGAATTAATGATAATATTATTCAATTATGACAGAGTGTAAGCTATGTAGGCTTATGAAACATATTGGTGGAGCACATGTCAGCATGGAAAGGCTGGTAGGAGGAGGAAACCCCAGGATTAGGTTCCCTAGCCTCTCAGTCCTGCACCTGAACATGCCAGTAGTGCACTTGGTTATCCAGACACAACCTTATCAATCTACCTAATCTGATCTCTACTTAATTGTACAGCATCAAGTCTGTAGATTGGTTACAATCTTTTCATTCATTGGAGTTTAATTTTGTATCAGATTTGATGGTCTGAAATAATATCCCGTTTATCTACTGATAAATTCTCCACAGAACATCCTGCTGGTAAATTGGCAGAATCTTTCTCAGTGGTACTAGATCTGACTTTTGGGTGTTTATATTTACCATTTTGTTAACCTGGGATCAGGATATCAAATCAATTCTTTTACGCTGTATGAATATGTAAGAAATTCAAACTTTCGCAAAAATGAAAAATAATGATTGTTTTCACAAAATACCAAAATTGTTTCACATCAACATATTATTTACTCACCCACTGGCAGGAAATGGAAAGACGGGAGGAGGTGGTGTTGGTGGACGATTAAATCCGTAAATTTCTTCTTCTGTTTGTGTTCCTATGGATACCATGGTTGGAGATCTATTTTTCATTTTATTTTTGTTGACCCTGCGTAGAACCTCAACCACAATGGGTTCTTGCGCAGTGCGGAAGGCCTCAACGGCTTCTTCGTGTGATGACTTGGATAAATCCTGACCATTTACCTGGAAAATATTAAAATATGGCATATAAATATCCGAAAGGCTTTGTTACACTGGACAGTACAACAGGAACTATACAATATATCACCAACAAGCAGGAATCACACACAGACGAAAAACATGGCCTTTATACCAAAACACAAGAAACATGGCCTTTATACCAAAACACAAGAAACATGGCCTTTATACCAAAACACAAGAAACATAAAAATCCACCAAGTTATATTACACAGGATAAGAGGATCCAAACCATCACCAACACCCAGAAATCACTCACTGATGAAACTCGGCAACAGTATTTAGCAGAATGACAGATTTAAACGGCACACCTGTACAGTTAAACTGGCATCCCTGAAATATCATCTTTCATTTCTTAGCTCATTACACAAATTCCACACCAGAAAACGCATGTTTGTATTTTTTGTGTTCCATAGGTATTCTATCAAATTAACCTCAGTTACACATTCCTTAGGGTGCCATCCAGATGTTTGTATGGTACTTATTTATGAATCAAACAAAGAAAAAAACAATCAGCCTGCAATCATCTACCTGAAAAATGTGTCTGAATATAACAGCTTACACAAACTTCTATTTATTAGAATAAAATCCATTTTCAGTGTATTAATAACACTCCCACAAAGTGTGAAATTAATTAATTATGATTATCGTTTGACACCATCGTGTTTTTTTTTTCATCTTTATAGCCACGTGGGAGTGTGTTAGTGAGTAACTGCCTCTCCAGCCAAGCACGACCTTTGTGTTGCTTGGGCTGTGTTAGAGATCGCTTTGGCTCTCACCAACATCCTTTCTCTACCTGTAACGTGACCTTGTCAATCAATAGAATGCATCACCGCGACAACCAGTCGATTACTCATTTAGGACAATGTACAAGTTATTACACAAGTGAATTTCACTTTCTGTATGAATATTTTATCTGGTTTCTAGTCAGAAGGCACTCTATCAAGGAGGAGATGAATTGTTTTATCAGGGGTGTCCCTAATACCCTGGCAGGTCTCATCAATATTTCTCTTTAGTTTGGGGTAAGTGCCGCTAACCCCAGAGTTCACCAACACTGTCTAGTGATGTGGACATCTACAATGATAATGCAATTATTCCTCACTGTGATTTTAATAAATTTCAACCATTATCAACAAACACTTCCTGGATGCTACACACACACTCTACAACATATTTTGTATCGGATCTATGATCAGTAACAATTAAAACAACTTCCCACTGGGAAATTACAATTGAATGCTTTTAACTTTCCTCAGCAATTAAAACAAGTCCTATTTATCTTGTCAACATGTGACAACCAACATCAGAAAACGAGTCAAATATAAAAAAAAAAAAACTCCCTATTTGTTGTTAATGGACTTTCTACCTTTCTAATTCATTGACAGTAATCAATCCCACTACAGCGGATGACATTATCAAAGATTTGTGTGATTAAATGAAGTAAAAAATAAACAAGCACAGCAATTTGTTGTATATTTTTTCTGTTTATTGACAAAATCCTACCTTTTTTTGCTGCTGAATTTTCTAATCATATCAATGCTTTTTAGAAAGCTATCAATCTTTGCAATTCATTAGTTAGAATAGAGTTTCTCAGCCAGGATTCAACAGAATTTCAACAATTGCTCATATCAAATGTCTTACTAATGAGTAAAACGAACAGATTGTCAGCATATTTAGAAACAGCATGTTCAAAACACTATGGGAGAAATAGGACCTGGTTACCATAGAAAGGCTAAGGGGGAAATTGGACCTGGTTACCATAGACAGGCTAAGGGAGAAATTGGACCTGGTTACCATAGACAGGCTAAGGGGGAAATTGGACCTGGTTACCATAGAAAGGCTAAGGGGGAAATTGGACCTGGTTACCATAGACAAGCTAAGGGGGAAATTGGACCTGGTTACTATAGACAGGCTAAGGGGGAAATTGGACCTGGTTACCATAGACTGGATGAAGGGTGAAATTTGACCTGGTTACCATAGACAGGCTAAGGGGGAAATTGGACCTGGTTACCACAGACAGGCTAAGGGAGAAATTAAACCTGGTTACCATAGACAAAGAAATTGGAATTTTGGGATAGTTGGGAGCAATAAAATCTATGCCTTTTATAGAAATAATATTTCAGTTGTCATACCGATTGTGATAAATCCCAATTAAACAAATCGAGTATCCGCAATGGGTAAACGAAGATGTCCTCTCGATGGTAAAAGTCAAAGTTACATACAACAGAATACATATAACGTACAACTCTATATCCAAATACAAGCTTTCTTCATCATGGTTATTAGTACATCTCATACTCAAAGGTAAACAGATTCTAACAAGGTCAAAGTCAGAACCTACAGGTGTAAAAAATGGGTCAAAAGTATTAAATATTAATCTGTAGTAGTAGCCATCACACAACTATTAATCGGAAAGGTCAGAGGTTATAACTGTCTAACATCCCAAGTCTATCATCGTATTAAATCTAAGGGATTACACGGACATAAACAGGGCACTGTTTCTAAAATCAATGAAGTACTATTTGTATGGTATGGTATCTGAGAATCTAAAATTACCAGAGTACAGCTTGTGGTCTGATTACTGATAATAGTGATTTAACACAATATTGATACATAAATAGTCTCAGATAAGGCTAAAACGGGGGAGAATTACGTAAAAGTAGGGCAGATAAAAAAACGTGGTCGTGACTGACAGCTGAGTATGGTTTGTAGGTGGTGTGTCAAACTGATGATATCATCTCTCATTATCTCTCATGTGTAAGATGTTCAGCAATGATACAGTTAATGACTAGTCTGGGCATCTACATACATGGAGGGGTAGGGGCCAGGTATATAGTCACAGGTTCCAGCATCTACATACATGGAGGGGTAGGGGCCAGGTATATAGTCACAGGGGCCAGCATCTACATACATGGAGGGGTAGGGGCCAGGTATATAGTCACAGGGGCCAGCATCTACATACATGGAGGGGAAGGGGCCAGGTATATAGTCACAGGGGCCAGGTGTATAGTCACAGGGGCAAGGCATATAGTCACAGGGGCCAGGTGTATAGTCACAGGGGCCAGGTGTATAGTCACAGGGGCCAGCATCTACATACATGGAGGGGAAGGGGCCAGGTTTATAGTCACAGGGGCCAGGTGTATAGTCACAGGGGCCAGGTATATAGTCACAGGGGCCAGCATCTACATACATGGAGGGGAAGGGGCCAGGTATATAGTCACAGGGGCCAGGTGTATAGTCACAGGGGCAAGGCATATAGTCACAGGGGCCAGGTGTATAGTCACAGGGGCCAGGTGTATAGTCGGTTTATGGTAAAGAAACAGAAACTTATTTTCTTGGCCACAGCATCAATTTTAAACTGATTATGTCAGAACTATAATTTCCCTCAGAAAGTGGATAAAAAAGTCACTATTTTAAAGATAGAAAAAATGTGTTTAACGTTGTAGGTTTTCTTGAGTTTGAAAAATCAATGCCATCTCTGGGCTCTCCACAGCAACAGATTAATACTCCCGTAATGGACAGCTCTGCAGATTTAACCATGTTGATTAAACAAAGGCCCACATTATTCTGTAGTAGAGGAATATAAGGGGGTAAAACTAAATATCATTCCTTGTTCACTTCCATCAGCTCTGACAAAATTCTACATGATGTTATAAGGGGATTACATTGATTCCAGAAAATACCACTTTATTGATACCTTGTCCGCCTAATAACAAACCAGTGATGTCCAGTACTCAAGACCAGTGGCAATCGTTAGCGACTGGCTCTGTCCGAGGTCATTCAGTGCTAACCCCACTTCATTTCTGCCAAAGGCAGGTACATTTGAACGCATACTACATCAAAGACATGACAATCAGACCCTTCATTATAAATATAATATGGTATTTCCATATAGATTGGTTGTACACCCAGCGTTATTCTATATGTTCTATGTCTAATGGTAATTACTACATTGTTTACCTGTTATCTGTGTAAATACAAGGTAACAACTATCATCTCTTTATTGATATATATTTACCAGCTAAGAATCACCCTTTGGTTGTTGTGCTTCACCTAACTTTCCTCCTTTTCAGATTTCCATGCACCATGTTTACAACTTCATCAATAAGACATTTTTATAAATGGTTATAATGAACCGATAACACTGTTTTATTACATATATACCACTTAGTTATCTATCTGAATGGCGATGAATGTTTCTTATCTTATTTTAAGTATACACCTCAGAGCTCAAATCTGTTTGTCATAGTTTTGTGAGTAATTCTTCCTGATGTCTTCATTACGTCGGACAATCTATGAAGATGTCCTGCAAACCATGACACCCCAGTTTTGTGACCACTTTCCCATCAAAGTACTGATGGCTATACTGTGACAGCTGTTACACATGAAGAATTCGTAACACATCTTCTTTGTAACAATAAGTACGCAAATATTATTTATGAGTTCCTTTTATTGATGTGGTGAACATCGCTTCAGACTCAGAAAGTATGACAGTGAACATCGCTTCAGACTCAGAAAGTATGACAGTGAACATCGCTTCAGACTCAGAAAGTATGACAGTGAACATCACTTCAGACTCAGAAAGTATGACAGTGAACATCGCTTCAGACTCAGAAAGTATGACAGTGAACATCACTTCAGACTCATAAAGTATGACAGTGAACATCACTTCAGACTCAGAAAGTATGACAATGAACATCGCTTCAGACTCAGAAAGTATGACAGTGAACATCGCTTCAGACTCAGAAAGTATGACAGTGAACATCGCTTCAGACTCAGAAAGTATGACAGTGAACATCACTTCAGACTCAGAAAGTATGACAGTGAACATCGCTTCAGACTCAGAAAGTATGACAGTGAACATCACTTCAGACTTATAAAGTATGACAGTGAACATCACTTCAGACTCAGAAAGTATGACAATGAACATCGCTTCAGACTCAGAAAGTATGACAGTGAACATCGCTTCAGACTAAGAAAGTATG